CCCTCCGCCCCGGGCCCGGCCTCTCCCGGCGGGATGCCGAGGGCAGCCGCGCGTGAGCAGCTTTTGGAATCACGGGGACCCCTTCCCAGATCCGCTGCAGGGGCCCCCGAGCGGAGCGCGGGTAGATCCCGGAGGGTCCCTGCGCGTCTTTGTAGCCGATTCTGCAAACACGTTGGAAGTTACCTTGTAGCCGCGGCGGTGGCTACAAACGCACTGAACTTGGAACTTAAGTAACTAGTTGTCGGGCTTTGGACATTTTGGCAAAACGGGAAGATGACAGCGCTGGGCCGGGCCTGTCCCGTGTGGCGGAGGGAAGGGTCCCGCGCTCCATGTCGGTGCCGTTCACCGGCGTTCGCTCATTCCATGTTCATAGTGAGTTCCGAAGGCAGGTCTGGAGGATTCCCCGGGCCCATGGATTTAAAAAGTGCAAGTGATCCAACCGGAAATTCTTTCGCTTTGACAGTTTTATATTAGAATCATGGACTGCGATTTTTATTTTATTTTATTTTTTTTGGTGTTTCCGTTGCCCTGTTGTTGTTTTTTTTTATTTACCAGAATTTCAGTATTAAGGATCGTGAGCATTTTTCTTTTTTGAAGTAATGACGTGTGTTTTCATCTAATGAAAATGGCTTAACCAGAGATATTCCCCCCTCCTTTTTTTACTATAACTTTTAGGAAACTCAAAGCTACCCTTCAATTGTATAGAATTCTAGGTGGTTGGTATGTTTTGCCTTCCTTCTTTGTTGATGATGTTATTGTGTTCTCTGTTTGCACTCTTGATTGGGTAGCTGCATTTTGTAGTCTTTTTGGAAAGCAGCATGTCTTTGTGAGTTTACACATTAACAAAGTTATAGTGGGGAGTTACTGTTGCAGCCGAAATAACAGTACTCCCTTTGGGTTTATACTAAATTTTTTTTTTCCACTTGGAGGGATATTGTTTCCTTAAATACTGCTTGTTTAGCTCTTTGAACGACTTAATGAAACTCTTTTCTGATACATAATACATAGTATGTTTTAGGAGATTTGTACAGAAACTTAAACTTTTTCAACCCCAAACCATGTGTGAATGGATCTTCTTCCATTGGGTTTTGCCCAGTTGAATTCATGCGTACTCACCTTTGAGGATGCTATGTTTGCACAGTAGGAATAGTCGTACCTATGTGTGTAACCTATCTCCTGCCTGCTTTTGTCTGCATTCCCCCCAGAAAATTCTTGTGCGCCAGCAACTTATTGTATAGATTTATGCCCAACAATTCTGTTGTGTTGTTTTTTTAAAAATATATTTTAGTGATTTTTTTTTACAAAGAGGAAGGGAGAGGGATAGAGAGTTAGAAACATGGATGAGAGAGAAACATCGATCCGCTGCCTCCTGCACACTCCCTACGGGGGATGTGCCCGCAACCAAGGTACATGCCCTTGACCGGAATCGAACCTGGGACCCTTCAGTCCTCAGGCCGACGCTCTATCCACTGAGCCAGACCGGCTAGGGCCTGTTGATGTGTTTTAATTCATTAAAGATACACACACACACACACACACATACATATATGTATTATGTAGACAATAAGGTTCATCATGCTCATTTTCTGGTGCCTGTTGAGTTTGACCTTAATCTAACTTTTCCGATCGCGTTCTATCGTAGGTGAAGTGCGGCAATGGCTGCTGTTTACTCTGGCATTTCCCTTAAGCTTAAAAGCAAGAGGACTTCCTGGGAAGACAAGCTAAAGCTAGCGCACTTCGCTTGGATTTCTCACCAGTGCATTCTTCCGAAAAAAGAGCAAGTAAGTTTAACGCGAGACTTACATTTTTATAACCTGCTATGATCACCGGTTAGGTAGACTGCATGTGGACATTTAGTAAAAAAAAAAAAAGTTAGAAGACCCGAGAAGAAGCTGGGGAGGGAAACATGGTTGGAAGTTAGAGTGATATCTGAAGGAAAAGTAATCGGTCGGGCGTTTCATGAACAAACGGTTTCTGTGGCAAAACCTCCGTCAGCACCTCTTATGCTTGGAAACCTCCCCTGTTCCAAATTAAGCACACGCATCGGCGAACAAATGCGGAGTGAGGTGCCAGACACATGTTCTGACCGTGTTGGTAGCTCCATTTGTTCGTAAATCCAAAGCCATGTTTCACGTGCAGCTGTTTGTTGGAGCTTCGTTGAACGTCTTTGGAATTTGGTGAGCTGAAGGTTGCCTGAGAAATCACGGGGGGTGGGGGTGGGGGGAGCTTTAGTATGGCCTGACCCCTGTGACTCAGTGGTTGAGCGTCCACCTATGAACCAGGAGGTCATGGTTTGATTCCTGGGCGGGGCACATGCCCTGGTTGCAGGCTCCACGCACGCCCACCTTGGGGATCGAGCCCGCAACCCGCGCATGTTCCCTGACCAGGAATGGAACCATGACCACTGAGCCATGCTGGCCAGGCCAAACCCTTGTCTTTTAACTCTGCATTTTTTGCTTCGTTTTGTGGCCTTTCTGAGCAATCATGCTTCTAACTTGAGAAATTTAGCATAACTGTATAGAGAAGTTAGAAGAAACTGCTAGAATTTCACTTGAACTTTTTATGGACCTCAGAAGAAGACCAACTTGTTTTTATTCTGTAAGAATAATCATTTTATGATGTGAAAGCATCTACATAATAGACCATTACCAAAGGTGGGTCTTAGAGGCGAGGGTTCCCCCTGGCAGTTAGATTTGGTTGTCCCTGGGATGTCTCCGTAAATGCCCAGTGTTTTTATTTCTCGGCAAATAACTTCACTCCTTTTCAGAGTCTGTTTCTTCCGCGTTTAGGTGTTACTTGATTGGGCCAGCCAATCATTAGTCTCATTTTATAAGAAGAAACTTGAACTGAAGGAGGACATTGTTGAAAGGCTCTGGGTCTATGTAGATAACGTTCTGCGTAGCAAAAAGCTGCAGCACCTCCTCAAGAATGGAAAGACCGTCACCCTCCAGGTCTCCCTGGTCAAGGTAGGAGTGTCTTGTGTTGTGCTGTGTGTGTGTGTGTGATGTGCTTCTCTCTCGACTTCCTGTCAGCACGGGAGGCTTCTTATTGGTGTTAGGGTCAATTATATCAGTTTGCAGGAAATGTCAAGGTAGGGGAGAAAGAAATAAAATCCTATATAATAAAAAGCTAATACACAAATTGTCCGCTCCACCTGGAGTTTGACCAGGGAGCAGGGCCGGCCGGCCAACCACCTGTGGCCCGTCCTCCCCAGCTGGCCCTGGCCCCAATCAGCCCCCGCAAAACAATTAGGGGCAGGGACGGCCTGCCAACCGCCGTGGATCGGCCCGATTGGAGCAAGCCGGCTGGACCCCACTGTGCACGAATTTGTGCACCGGGCCTCTAGTTAGAGTTATAATAATGACCGTTGTTCATCGAACAAGTATCGTATGCTCTACGTTGGGCTAAGTACTTTGTTGTTTAATATTCAGGAAACATTTAGAACTATTTCATGAAGCGACTGTTGATTATCTTTTTAACTGGAAGAGATAGCCAGCCGATAATGTTACTTTGTGACCCGCCCCCTTCCTGTTGGCCTGAAGGGGAGATCAGAGGCCAAAATCTGCTTCGGAATGTCCTCAGATTCCTGACTCAGAGTGATTTCGAAGTCTCAGATCAGAATTATGAGCTTCGTTGTCAAAACGGGAGTATTTGCCAAGACGCTGGGCATAGCTGGTGACCGTAGAAAGCACTGATAAGGAGCGCTTTGTGTGTGCCAGGCTCAGAGAGGTTAAGTAACTTGCTGAAAGCCACACAGCGAGGCAGTGGCCCAGGCCTGCCTGGCTGCCAGGCTGGTGCTGTTCGACCTACACTGCCTCGCCCACGTGCGTGCAGGAAGAGGGAGAAGAGCAGGGAAGGCTGCCAGCGGAAGGATTAATGGGTCAAACTGCCTGAAGCCGTGTAGGCTCTAGTGGTTCTTGAAAGTATGTTCTAAATTGTGTGTCACTTTTTAAAATTTTTATTCTGTTATTTATTTTTAAAAATATCTTGTATTGATTTCAGAGAGGAAGGGAGAGACAGTGAGAGAGAGAGAGAGAGAGAGAGAAACAGCAGTGATAAGAGAGAATCATGGATCGGCTGCCTCCTGCACGCCCCACACTGGGGATGGAGCCCGCAACCCAGGCCTGTGCCCTGACCGGGAATCGAACCGTGACCTCTTGGTTCATAGGTTGATGCTCAACCACTGAGCCAGGAAGGCCGAGTACTGGCATTCCTTTTTTTAATTTTTTAATTTTATTTAAATCAAGATGAGGTAAGGAGTGAGTGGGTTGATGCTGTTGTATTTTGTGTGTGTGTGTGTGTGTGTGTGTGTTGAGGGTCAGTCATGAGCTTCCTTCCTTTCTCTCCTAACGCTCAGGTCATCAATGAGAGAATCGCCGAGTTCTCCCTTTCGGGATCCCAGAGGCACGTCGGTGCCGTGCTCAGCTGCTGCCAGGGCGTCCTGTCCACGCCGGCCCTCGCTGTCATCTACGCGGCCCGGCAGGAGCTGCTGGTGGCCCTGCTGAGCCAGCTGTGCTGGGCGGCCTGCCGGCAGCCGGAGGCCTCCGCGGCGGTGGCGGCCCTGCTGTTCGAGGTCATGCACCTGGCCCTGGGCCATTACCTCTCGGTCCAGCAGCAGCAGGTCAACCCCAGGCGGGCCTTCGGGGAGGTGACCGGCCACCTGCTCCAGCCCTGCCTGGTCCTCAGGCACCTGCTCTCGGGGGGCGCGGGGGCGCAGGCCGGCCCGGGCCAGCTGCGACCGGCCCTGAGCCGGGACCTCCGGAGCCAGCTGGAGGCCGTGCTGCGCGGCGGAGCCTTCCAGCCCGAGCTGCTCTCGTCCTACCAGGAGGAGCTCTTGGACCAGC